TGTTTGTGATTATATAAATGTATAGATACACTTAAACATGTTTTTGTCATTTATAAACATAAATTATTTTTAAAACTGAGTAATGATATATAATCTGTATATGTACATATGTAAATTAAACTGGAATAACAATTTTCTGTTTAGTAATCTCAAAACAAAAATAATCTGTATTAAGGAAACGTAAGGAATACCAATTAGAATGTTCTTCTAACATCAATAAGTAAACATTCAGTATAACAGAATTTAGACCAAAGGAATTTTAATCTGAACTAGCTATCTCATTTTGTAGAAAATAAATTTGAAAGCCAGTAAAGTTATTGGTTTTTCCCACAGCACATAGCCACTTGAGAGTAACTGAGTTTTCTAGAACCTTGAGTTTGCTTTTTTCTGCATCACACGCTATATTATCTGTATGAACAAAGTGTATTATGAATCATTACTAAAATATAAAGTGCTAAATAAGTAACACTTTTGCTATCATGATAGAATTTTAAAAGTATTGTTAACATCTTGAACAGTGGGTAAAAATTATAACAGTCTTCAGCTTAATGAAATTTGGTTTTAGTTTTTGCAAACTACTTGGCAAAATTGAAGAATTTTAAGTGAATTATTACAATCAATACTAATTATAATTTTGAAAGTAGTAATGGGTTTAAATTAATGTACCTGGCATGGAGACTCTTTTGAGAAATCTTTTTGTACCCACTTTAAAGGGATGGCTGACAGATGGTTTCATATGCCATAATATAATGACACACTGCAGTAGACACCATGACACCCTGTCAGTTAAGGAACACTCATATTCTTGTCAATGAAGAGCAAACCCTCACAAAATAGTCTGATTTCTTCAAAGAAGAAAATAGAGGTGTGAAATTACACTCTTGCTCTAACAGCATAAAATATGTTAGGAAGAAATTCTGTCCTTATTTAATAATCATCTTTTTTATATATATATATATATATATATGTTTAAAACAGTCACTGAGTTTGTTGTTTCAAATCTTGTTTGGGGTCAGATTATTTGGGGTGAGATTATTTGAACTGTTTCTTATCTTCCTTTTATAATTTTGTTTTGACGTGTATTTTTTAATGAGAACATAGAATTATTTTATAAATTGGCTAACAACTTGATTGACTTGAATCCTTATAGTTTTTTCAACAAATTAAAAAAAAAAGAACAACAACAACCAACTTCACAGTTTTTCTCTGAGGCCAAATATTAGTAACCAGTCTAGTTTAAATTAAATCAGATATGGTATAATTAATTATCAAGTATTTGGTGAGTAGCCTGCAGCATGTGTGATGCAGCTTAGTATAACATCCTTTAGAAGAGGGATGAAATATAAAGGGCAATATCTCCAGATACTAAACTTCGATTTCCTGTTCCTAGATACAGTGCTGCCCTTTTAATAGTGTGTGTGTTTGTGTGTGTGTGCATTAGACAAAAAAAGTAAGAAGAATCATATTTAAACCATAATTCTCATTACTTTTAAAAATATATAAAACTCAGTTTTAGGGAAAAATAATCTCAGTGAAAAATAAAATTCATAACATTATAATAATTGGAGGAAAAGCTTTCAACATTTTTATGGAATATATGAATGGGAGGTTCTGTTAACATTAATCTTACTTGACTTTTCAATAGTTTCTCAAATGAAAACATTCTTATGTGCCTTCAACATGTGAGATATTTGTAAATGATACTTTTAGAATTCTACCGTTGCCCCCCAATCTGTTTTTTTAGCTCTAGTGATCATTGGCTCTAGCATCTTCGTTCCTGTATTTGCACTGATATTTAGATGCAGACAGAATCCTATCTCCTTGCTTACACGAAGTAAAGTATGTCATGAATTAGAGTAAATTATTTTACACAAACTTTAGCATACACTAAATAAAATAATTTTACATCCCATTCTTTCTCCTTTCATGTTGCTTTATAACCCACTAGGAATAAAATGATTGTATCTCTGCAAATTTCTTACAAATAGCTATTGCTCTTTTGATTATTTTCTCTGGATGATGTCGGGTTTTTAATTTTAACATCAGATATTCACATTATTTATTTTAAATTGGTCATTTAAAAACTGTGATGCATTTTTTTTGTCTCTTCTGGAAATGTTTGTTTTTAATATTAAAAGTTAAATGGTAATTAATAATTAAGTTTCTAGTATTATACTCTACTACAACGAGATGAATTGACACAGTGGCTGCAATGATGGGCTCAAATATAGCAGTGATTGTGAGGATGGTGCAGGACTGGGCAGTGTTTCATTCTGTTATACATAGGATCGGTATAAGTCAGAACCAACTTGAGGGCACCTAACAACAGTAGCAACCTGCTTACAGACAGGGCATATGGATTAGACTTGGTTTCCAACCTCGGGGCAATAAAAATTAATAAAAGACACAGATCAGAAAAAAAATTATGCAACTATCATATATATGTTAACAGATACAATGATCAAAAGGGTGTAGTACAAAGAAAGAATATCCTTGCTTTGTGTTCTAGTTGAAAACTGACAGAAATATTAATAAATCTTTGCAAAGTGAATATCCTTTGGACAGTGATATATGAAAAGGGGAGCCCTGGTGGTACAGTGGCTAAGAGTTCAGGCTGCTAACCCAAAGGCTGGCAGTTTGAATCCACTATCTGCTCCTTGGAAACGCTATGGAGCAGTTCTACTCTGTCCTATAGGGTCGCTGTGAGTTGGAATCGACTCAATGGCAACCAGTTTGCTTGTTTTCTTTTAGTATAAAAAAAGATTGGATTTTGGTGTAGACGGAAGTTCTATTCCATTTAAACAGAACAGTCTAGAGACAACAATACTGATTCTTCATTCATACTGGTGTTTACTAAAAATCCTTTCACGTAGTAGGTGCTCGATAAATATTTGATGGTCAATAAATTGAATACATGTATACACATAGACTAAATTAACTTCACTGACTTGTGGAGAATTGTAAGTTTTTTCTTACTGCCTAAAGTGTTTAATAAGCTTTAAAATCCTAAACTCTTAGAATTAACATTTTTACAAAACCTTTTTAGGGAGAATAAACCCAAGGGGGATAGATGGAGGCTTACATTTATTAAATTAAATCTGGTCTATGCTACATAATGCACTAGGCATCTTATCTGTGCTACGTTTAAAAAAATACATACTCTAAATATAAGTAATGAAGAAGGAATTATAGTCTACATTTCTCAGATGATAAAACTGAAGCTAGGAGAAATTAGAAATTTTTCTCCAGTCATTTTGCTTGTGTATGGTAGAATCAGTATTCAAATCCAGGGGTTTATGACTCCAAAGCCCAGTGTGTGGTGGTGGTGGGGGATGGGTGGGAAGGTTGGGATATGCCCATGTGCATGCATATGTGTATATGTATTTTCTAGTTTAGCCTTTCGGAGTCACACAAAACTTATTTTTTGTATACATTTAGGTTTTAATGAGACTAAACTAAATTCATAATTCTGAAAAGCTAATCATATGTAAAACTGATTTAAAATTTAGTGTAGTTCACTTACGGAGAGAAGATTTTTCAGAATGAAATAAGCCAAACCTATTCTTCTGTCCCTATTTGTCCCTGCAAGAATGTGAGCACTATGAGGGTAGGAATTTTTGTGTGTTCTCTTCATAGTATATCCCCAATCTCCTTTGTTAAATGTCTGCAGGCCTGTAGATATTTACTGAGGAATGGTGGCAATCTCACAGAAGAAATGCTCCTTTTGCCTATAATTTCTGTATATGCTACTAGAGACATTTTCTTCTCAATTAATGTACATCAGTACCCTCACCATTACATAGCTCAATCCAGAAATATAAGTAATGTTAATTTATCCTTCTCACACACGCAAAGTTATTGAAGTTTAGCCCGTTTTAAAATGCAACAGATTGGAGTTTATCTTGGAAAGGCGCTTCCATCTGTGAAAACTGTCATTGGAAGAAGGAAGAACACTTTAAAATAAATCCACCAGCTGTATTGATAATCTTATAGTGATATGAAGGCCTGAATATGATAGGACTATTTGTTAAATCAGTTATACCATATGACAGGATGGCTGGCTTGTGAGTTTTTCATGTTTCTTGATAATGACTTTTAAAATCATAGCATTGCAGAAGAATGACACTAATGCAGTTTGAAGCTATAAACTTAAAAAGCAAAAAAAAAAAAAAAAGTTAAAGTGATTTTAAAAATATTAACTCACCTAAATGGCACACATTGTGCATGAGAACTTGCTTTAAAATCCCCAACGAGTAACAGGGAGTTTAACACCTGCACAGTGTGAGTAAGTTCATGGGCTGGAGAACAGCCAATGGTCAAACTTTCGTGTTGATTTGAAAATAACAAACATCTCGAACAGAATTTTTGGCATTCAGACTTTTGTTAAGAGAAGAGGTTACTGTGCTTATGCTTTATATAAGGAATCTCTGTATCGACAAGATCCCTCCTAGTTTGTTTCCCTTTAACATAGCCCGTTACATTTTTCTTCACGTGATGGAGAACTAAAATGCTTGTGACTGATTGAATAACAAGAAGAGAACCAGTTGAAGTGGTGTGTGTTTTCTAGAAGGAGGCTACTGTTGTGTCTATAAAGTACCCTTCTAAATTTAAATTCCCTAGCATTTACTTTGAGAAAGGTGAAGAGCTCACAGAATAAGAGGCAAGCCTCTTGTTTAGAAGGAGGACTCAAGAAATCTTCCCACTCACTATGAAAGAGAAAAAATTGATATTGATCTTGGTGTTCTCTCCGGGAAGAGGTGAGGAGGTGTTCCCTTTCTAATAGGTTTCTGAATGTCTTTGACTCTGAGGTCCCAGATCCCTGAACAGTGGGGTTATCTAACATTTGTCAGAGGTGGATTGCAAAGGTGACTTCTGAATCTTTGCTCAGTGTTGGCTCAGCCCTTTTTTCAAAACCATATTTCTATATACTGTGATACTTGCTGATGCTTCCCTTTTTTTTTTTCTAAACATCATAGTGTCTTCTCCTTTACACTCATCTTTCCACCCTACTTTCTGAGAATTTCCTCATTATCTCTACAATGATCTTCCTAGTTATTCCATAAACATTGGCACCTTCCTATTTAAAAGCATTATGTGTTCCCATTACTCACAGCATTAAATACTAAACCCTTGTCTTGGAAGTCAAGATTCTCCATAATTTGGTCCAAGCACTCTTTCTTTTTTTCAGCATCCCAGGTTCAGCTTCATTACTTAACAGAAGTCCAATCTCTGGAACATTAAAATTGTTCCAAAATTTAATTAAAAACACAATTTACAAATATTTAATTTCCTCTGAAAAGCATTTCCAAGTTAAGAATGGGAAAAAAATGTACATTGTATATAATCAAATCCAGTTTGCTTCAAATTCCGTCAGGTCCACAGTCAGCAACATCAGTCTTGTTAGGGTCTTCAAAATCTTCTGTTAAATCTACAAAGGTGTTTTCTACGCTGGGGGAAGGAATGGAAATCCCCATTGGTTTTCGAACTCCACACATGCTGACAATATCACCGGGAGTAACTTGCTGTGCAAGTTCTTTAAGATTATTGGTCACTTGTTCAGTGAGATGCATTTCTCTGTACGAGGGACCCAAGAGACAGATCATGTTGGAAGCGGGTCTTGTGCTCAGACGTTCATTCTGGGCTTCCTGGAACTCCCTAATCAATTTCGTGCTCTCGTCAAGTTTCCTCTGGAACACTTCAGCTTCTTTGCAGTCAACAACATCAACTGGCACACCAAAGTTTGTGACCGCTCTCAGTGCTGTGAGTCTGTCCTGGTTACTACACTCCAAACGCCCTGCTGGCTCTATTTCTGTAACCTGCGCCATGTCTTTTGTTGTGTCAAGTGACCTGGTATGGGCTTCATCTTCAGCTGATGACGTCTCCAACTCTTGCAGGGTTCTAGAATGCCCTCCTTTCGTTAAAACATCCAATAAACTATCTGCCAAGCACTCTTTTTGAGTACCTTTTCTAATCACCTTTTTCTAAGTGAATGAACTGCTTGTTTAGTCACATCAGTCCAGAATGGATCCTATGCCATTCTTTCCAATGTTTTAGTCCTGTCACATCCAGAGTTATTTTGATTGCTACTCATTTAAAGCAGATGCTGAATAGCTTGAAATAACTTCTTACTCTGACCCTATCTCGATGTCAGGGAGTAATTTTTTTTTTTTTTAATGCCTATAACGGTTTCAAATTTGTTGTTCTTGTTAGTTGCCATTGAGTCGATTCCGACTCATGGTGACTCAGTGTGTGCAGAGCAGAAATGCTCCATACGATTTTCAAGGCTGATCATCATGCCTGTGTTTTGAGGCACCTCTGGGTTGGTTCAGAGCCCTAGTAGCGCAGTGGTTAAGAACTCGGCTGCTAACGAAAAGGTCAGCAACTGGAATCCACCAGCTGCTCCTTGGAAACCCTATGGAGCAGTTGTACTCTGTCCTATAGGGTCCCTATGAGTTGGAATGGACTTGACAGCAGTGGGTATGTATATTACCAGGTTGATTTCAACTGCCAAACTTTCCGCTAGTCGTTGAGCACTTAACTGTTTGCACTGCCCAGGAACTCTGTGCTTTCAGTTTCAGAAACATTAAATAAATCCTTATTAATTAATTTTTTGAATTTCTAATCTTCCTACAATTTTAGTGATTGATCAAGCCCTGATAGTTTAATAGCTACTGCAAATCATGAGCCATAAGTGTAATTATAAATCTTTTATTTGTTATGTGTATTGAAACATGTATCCCTTTCTCCTCTTTTGTCATCATTTTATATGTAATCTTGAAACTCAATTTAGGGCTCATTAAAGGAATCATGAGGAGCCCTGGTGGCACAATGGTTAAAGTACTCAGCTGCTAATTGAAAGGTCAGAGATTCCAACTCACCAGTGGCTTCATGAGACAAAGACTTGGCGATCTACTCCCATAAAGATGACAGCCTAGGAAACCCTATGGGACAGTTCTACTCTGTCACATGGACTAGCTATGAGTTGGAGTTGATTCAGTAGCACACAACAAAAACAAAACAATCCATACTCTTATGGAAAGATTTTTAGGTGCTTAGATTATATTTTTTCTGTACTTCTTTCAAACATTCTGTAAAAGTGATCAGCAGTTGAGATTTTTCCAGAACAATATTTTTATATTAGAAGGATATTTCTAATTATGCAATAAGATTTTTTAATCAGTGAGTCAGTCAGTAAATATTTCTTAATCAGTCTTGTTGAATGTTCCTGAGATTTCAAGTAAGAGAAGGCGAGAATACTGACCAATGACTGAGGTTTTCTCCTGTAGTGGTTAACTGCTCAGTTGCAGCTGCTGAGTGAGGAGATCAATGTGCTGAGAGGAACCAAGGCTGTTTGCTTAGAAATAGACCAATTAATTTTAAGTTATTAATATTTTATCATGGCCACTATTGAGTAAAATTTTCCAAAACTGGAAAATAAGGCCAAGGGGATGACTGTGATCTTTTGTTATCATACTAAAGTATTGTTTAAAGGAGACACTTAAGTATTATCTAATTTTTGGGAGAATGAAACATTGGTTGGCTTTGCAATTTAATATTAATTGAAAGCTTAGACTCTGTGAAGTTGTGTGTTAGCTGGAAGATTTGTGTCCAGCAGAAATGCAAATTATATCTGTTTGATAGAAAAGATAATCCCAAAGCTATGTTTTATTGTCCTCTCGAACGTTATCCAGTTTTGCATTTAATACAGAAATCTTATTCAAATATTCCTTTATTATATTACCTATATAGTTCCTAGTGCCCCAAATGTACTTTTAAAAATATATAATAGATTTATTGAGGTATAATTCATATGCCATATAATTCACCATGAAAGATGTACAATTTATGGTATTGAGTGTATTTGCAGAGTTGCAACCATCACCACAATCAACTGGAGAACATTTTTATCACTCCAAAAAGAAACCCTTATATCCATTAACAATCAGTCTCCATTTCCTACCAGACCTTCAACCCTATGTAACCACTAATCTACTTTGTGTCTCTAAATTTTTCCTATTTTGGACTTTTTATATAAATGGAGTAGTATAGTTTGTGATCTTTTGCGAATGGCTTCTTTCACTAGCATAATGTTTTCATGGTTCATCCATATTGTAGCAAGTATTGGTACTTCATTCCATTTTATTGCTGAATAATATCCCATTATATGGATATACCATATTTTATTTAGTCATTCCTTAGTTGATGGGCATTTGCACTATTATGAATAGTTATATGTTGGTATTATGAATAATACTGCTATAAACATTAGTGTACAAATTTTTGCATGGACATATGTTTTCATTATCTCTTGGGTGTACACCTAGGCGTGGAATTGCTGGGTCAGACAGTAACTATTTTTAACCTTTTAAGGAACTGCCAAACTGTTTTCCAAAGTGGCTGCACCATTTTCCATTCCCATCAGCAGTGTATGAGGGTTCCAGTTGCTCCGTATCCTTGTCATCACTTTTTATTGTCTGTCTTTTTTATTATAGCTATCCTAGTGGGTGTGAAGTGGTATCTCATTGTGGTTTTGATGTGTTTTTCTCTGATGCCTAATGACATTGATCATGTTCTGTTGTACCTATTGGCCATTTCTATATCTTTTTTGGAAAAAGATCTATTTTGATTTTTTGCCCATTTTTCATTTGGATTGTCTTTTTATTATTGAGATGTAATAGTTCTCTCTATATTCTGGTCTTTTATCAAATATATGATTTGCAAATGTTTTCTCCCCTTCTGTGGGTTGTCTTTATTTTCTTGATGGTGTCCTTTGAAGCACAAAGCTTTTAGTTTTTAATTTTATTTTATTGTGTTTTAGTTAGAAGTTTACAGCGCAAGTTAGTTTCTCATTCAAAAATTTATACACAAATTGTTTTGTGACATTGATTGCAATTCCCCCAATGTGACAGTACTCTCCTCCTTTCCACTCTGGGTTCTCTGTGTTCATTCGTCCAGTTTTCCTCTTCCTTCCTGCCTTCTTGTCTTGCTTTTGGACAGGAGTTGCCCATTTGGTCTTGTATAATGGGTAGAACTAAAAAGCACATTCCTCACGTGTGCTGTTGATTCTTTCATAGGCCTGACTAACTTTTGTCTGAAAAGTGGGTTTTGGGGTTGGTTTCAGTTCTGAGTTAGCAGGGTGTCTGGGGGCCATAGTCTTGGGGGTGCCTGCAGTCCCTGTCAGACCTGTAAGTCTGGTCTTTTTTTGTGAATTTAAATTTTGGTCTATATTTTTATCCTGCTTTGTGCAGGACTCTCTACTGTGATCCCTGTGAGAGTGGTGGATGGTGGTAGCCAGTCACCATCTAGTTCTTCTGGGCTCAGGCTGGTGAAGGCTGTGGTTCGTGTGGTCCTTTAGTCCTTTCGGCTAATATTTTCCTTGTGTCTTTGGTTTTCATCATTCTCCTTTGCTCCAGATGGGATGAGACCAATAGATGTATCTTAGATGGCAGCTCGCAAGCTTTTAAGACCTCGGATGCTACTCTCCAAAGTAGGATGTAGAACATTTTCTTTATGAACTATGTTGTGCCAGTTGAGCTAGATGTCCCCTGAGACTATGGTCCCAAGCCATCAGCCCCAACATCTTGGTCCCTCAAGGTGTTTGGATGTGTCTAGGAAGCTTCTATGACTTTGCCTTGAACACATTGTTCTCACTTCCCCTGTATTGTGTGTTGTCTTTTCCTTCACTAAAGTTGACACTTGTCTACTATCTAGTTAGTAATTTCCTCTCCCCACCCTTCCCCTCCTTCATAACTGTCAAAGATTTTTTTTTTTTTTTTTTGTGTGTAAACCTTTTCTTGAGTTTTTACAATAGTGGTCTCATATAATATTTGTCCTTTTGTGATTGACTTTTTTCAACTCAGCATAATGCCTTCCAAATTCATCCTTTTTTGTGAGATGTTTCATGGATTCATCATTGTTCTTTATCATTGTGTAGTATTTCATTGTGTGTATGTACCATAGTTTATTTATCCATTTATCTGTTGATGGGCACATAGATTGTTCCACTTTTTTGCTGTTGTGAATAGTGCTGCAATGAACATGGGTATGCACATCTGTTCGTGTGATAACACTTATTTCTCTAGAATATAGTCCTAGGAGTGGGATTGCTGGATCATATGGTATTTCTATTTCTAGGGAGGTGCCATATGGTTTTCCATAGTGGTTGTACCATTTTACAATCCCATCAGCAGTGCATAAGAGTTCAAATCTCCCCGCAACCTCTCCAACATTTGTTATTTACTGTTTTTTGTTTTTTTTAACTTAGTGCCAGTAATGTAGGGTGAGATTGTATCTCATTGTTGCTGTGATTTTCATTTCTCTAATGGATAATGACTGCCAGCATTTCCTCAAGTGTCTGTTAGCCACCTGAAAGTCTTATCCTTTGCCCATTTTTTAATTGGATTATTTGTCTTTTTGTTATTGAGGTTTTGAAGTATTCTATAGATTTTAGAGATTAGACCAAAAGCTTTTAGTTTTGAAGAGTCTAATTTTTTCTATTTTTCTTTTGTTGATTATGATTTTAGTGTCATATCTGATAAACTATTACCTAATCCAAGGTCATGAAGGTTTACTCCTATGTTATCTTCTAAGATTTTTATAGTTTCAATTTTACATTTAGAACTCTGATCTATTTTGACTTAATTTTTGTGTATTGAAAATATTGTTTGAGAAAAGAAAGTCTTCAGGGATGAAAAGGAATTACCCAGGCAAAAACTGTGTATCTGTTGGGTATTTGGGTGGAGGTGGGGGGATAAAATTGCTTGTTTGGGCTAGTTTGTGCACATGTATCTTTCGCTCTTCACTCACACCCCAGAAGGTTTTTGGGAGAGGTGTGAAATCAGGTAGAGACACTTTAAGGCAGAGACATGAAACAACTTGAACAAAGGCACAGAACAACTCATTAGAAGGTTTTCTAAGCTGTTCGATAATAGTATAAACTTGGGGAAAGAAGTGACCAGAGAGAAACTTACTGAAGTCCAGTCCAGGAGTACCTGTTTTATGAGCTTGGTCTGCGTCCTCTAGAACATTTGTATGTTAAAATTCAGTTTTGTAAAATGAATTAATTATTCATTTATTAATGCTCCATATATTGAGTACTTCCTTTATAAGTGTCAGGTACTCTGGTAAGTGTTAGTTGGTGGTTCCTGATGGTAAACAGTATTGTAACATATGCATCTTCTATATATCTTGATCTGCAATCCAATTACTTATTAAAAGGAATAATATTTGGTCATAATTTGGATGTTTAAGGTATAGTGTTGTATAACAAAATTTTATTTTATTTTATTTATGCAGAACTATTATGGAGCTGCTAAGATGATTTTTTCTGACAACCCACTTGGTCTGACTTGTGGAATGGTATGTCCAACCTCTGACCTTTGTGTAGGTGGATGCAATTTATATGCTACTGAAGAGGGACCGATCAATATTGGTGGATTGCAGCAGTTTGCTACTGAGGTATGAAGATATATTCATGTCCCCTATCCCCCCATCCCTTATGCACAATGATGTTAAAGTAATTTTATTCCCTGGTGCTTTGTTGATATCCAGCATTTTTAGTGTGATACACAGCTAGTATATGTGTTTTTTGCAACAAGCAGTATTTTTGTTTACCAACTTGGCTATAAAAATGAAATTTTATAAAACCATATGTCAAATTAGTTGCAACCCCAGAAGGTTATTAAAATACTTTAAAAGTTATATAAAATAGAGGATCTGAAAATACAACTTATTCATTAACTTTACATTGCAGTGTGGCAAGGGGACCCCATTATGAAAAGGCAATCTTGCTTAACTGACTCTCCTCCCTAAAAGACTATTTAATCTTTGTAGCTTGAAATAATAAGTAATCAGCATTTTGTAATATTCTCTGACTAAAAAGCTAAAGAATTTTCAAAAACCCTGAAACCAAATAAGATTTTTTAACACCAAAAAATTGTTAGATTTTGTGGACTTATAGAATAGTGCTACAATGGAAAAAGGCCTGTTATTTGAATACGGATTTATAAAGAAAAGTATGAAAGTATGTTTTCACTGTTTATTCTATAATCTTTGGTCATGGCTTTCTCTTTTGTGAATCCTTTGTAAGTGACTTTGATTCACTGGGACATCCTTGTGCTCTCTTGGGTCTCCTATCTGGGGTCAATTACCAGGCCAGTTTCCATGCATCATTTAAATGATCAGCTTGTATGGAGGCTACAGTAAGATTTTGTGATCTTTAGGGACCAGTTAGCTAGAAGGCCAAATGAAATACCTGTCAACACTAGATTTTTAGTTAATGACTTCCCTATGAAGTTTCGTCAACTTAAACACAGCACACTCTTTCCTTTTAGGACCTGTCTTAAAATATCCCTCAAGCTTAAGTCTCACTTTGCTTTTATTAATAAATCAGGGTTATTCCCTTCCTGCTTTCTGACAGGTTAATTCTAAGGAAAGGCTCCTGGGAGTGAGAAAATAGAAACAATTTGAGGTTATGAGTTGTTGCAATAAATTCTTGGGTTTAATTTCTTTTCTTACCAAATTCAAGATTGCATTAGGCTTACCTCACCAGTGCAAAGTATGATCTTTACAACCTGAGAAAATCCTTAGTTGATTGAGAAGATTCACTTGAATTCCTCCCCATCTTTCTCTGGGGAGCCAGAGCCTCTTCATTAAACCAGGGCAAGCTTGCACAACATGAAAGGTCAGACAATATGTATATGAACTGACACAACATTTCAAAACTAAATTAGTTAAAATATTATTGTTAGTTTGTCAGTGTCCTGAACTTGAGAGAGTGAGAAACAGAGGACATCATCCATCTGGAAACTCTCACTTGGTTTTTATGAAATTCCTACCACCCTTTCCAAAGCGGACTCTATGTACGCATTTGAGGCAGAGCTTCAAATGTACCTTAGCTGCTGTATAGAATTCATTAGGAACTTACTAAAATTTGAGAGTGGCCACACTTAGGACTTTTCATAAGTATCCCCAATAAGGAGTTACGCATAGGTTAGGACTGCAATAAAACATTCTAAGTGAATCAAGTAATTTAGAGTGGGAATGTTATCTTTCTTTTTTATTCCAATTAGTTTGTATAGCTGTGGCTTCAAATATATCTGTCAAATCATAAATGAAAATCTCCTAGTGGAACTACTTAGAAAAGCTATCCATTCTTTTTTTTTTTCAGGTTGACCAAGTAAGGCGAGTCATTTTAGAAAGTCTTATATTTCCTGAGTGTGCTTTACCTAAATTTACCCAAAGTTCAAAATTGCTGTGAAGATAAGCAAAACACAAGCTGCATATTAATTGACTGTCAGCGAAAAAAAAGTATAAAGCGCAAATATTATTATTTTCTCAAACTACTGTTGACGTCAGTGTTTAAGGCGAAGTACAACTTGATGCAAATAATTTTATTTTTGGATTGTTTTATAAAACGATCGATTTTTGACCTTTAAAGGAAGAGAAATCTATTTTTCAACCAAATTAAGCAAAGGTTACAAAAATAGACTAAAATAGTATGATATTTTTCTAAATTGGTTTTCCTATAATTTGTGAGTGAATTTTAAAATACCAGTTCAGTAGTCTGCCATTACTGGTTAGGTCCATCCCTTATATTTCTCCTCTGTTTGAACATGGGCATGTGATTTGGAGGAAATCTAGGAATGAATCACACAAAGAACAGCTGCAGTAGAATCAGACCAGCTGCTTTTTTGTCCAATGTTGTCATTACTGTTCAACCCTTTGCTATTCCCACATCTGCAGTACGATGACTGTGACCCTGCTTCAGACACTTTTGCATGCCCCTGGGACAAACAGGCTACAAGGGTGACCCTGATTCTATATAGGAGGCAGTTTTTCCTAGTTCAATTAGGTGTAACAATATTGCTTCAATAAAATAACTTAGAAACAACACTTTGGTGTAGATTTTGTTATCTATCTCATGAGGGTGTTTAAATTTCTAAGTGCAAATGTAACCCTTAAACATTTTATTTTGAAACGTGTGTATTTAACTGAATCTTTAAGAAATCATATATTCATTCATGTAGCATACAAACAAGACTTTTATTTCCTTTCAAATTGAATTAATGAATTGTTGGAAAAGAGATTGAGATGGCAATGCATCTTCATACCGATTGCCCAGAGCTTGAAAAAAATAATTTTAAATAGAGTATTAGCTGCATGTCAAATCAATTCCCTTCTACTAATATTAAAGTATTATGGAGGTAAATTAGAAAAATTAAAATTTTAAGGTACAAAAGTTGACTTTAAATGCTAAAATGAATGAGATGGGATTGTTACTTAAAATTACTGCCTCCATTCTGAGTTTTTAATACTATTCTAGGTTATGAAATGGGGATCTAAGTATATTATTTTGTTTTTCACAATAAATACTATGAGAATATCTGTTTTAATGTCTAATAAATATACTATTTTGTACAGTGACTACGTCTTGGCACTTCTATTAAAAGTATTTTAAGTAAAAGTGTTTTATTAAAAATGTTTATTTAAATATTTTTATTTAAGAATAAAAATGAAATTTCAGATTAAATCAGATGCTTCACTGAGAACAGATTTACTGTAGATTTTTCTTTGAAGTATCTCTCAGCAGGGTTTTTTTTTTTAATGTCATCTCTCATTTGATATTAACCATTTCTTGTCCTACTAGGTTATAGTACTTGCATTAATGCAAGACTTTGTCCATGCAATTGAGAAAATTTGTTTTTGTTTTGTTTGCTTTTATTAAATATATATTACAGATAAAACTGAAGGCCTTCATCTTTCCTTCTCCAGTCAGATACTCATCTGGCCTATATGTTATGTTTCCTAAGAAATAGCTCATAATAGTATCAATAGGGATTTCTCCAATGAATGTTGGAATTTGGAAATCTCTTCTTATGTTTATTGGTCATACATCTTTGAATTTTTTGGTATTTGCCCACTATTTGGTATATATTGTGATGGAGTGCTCTAGTTATGTAAGGCATATACACTGTATGTTGTGTATGGGTGTGTGTTTTCAATATGGAAAGCCAGTTAACCCAATGCCGTTTATTGTAGGATCTGTCATTTCAACCCTGAGTTGTCATAGATCGTATATATAGATTTTTTTTTTTGGGCGGGGGGAGGCTTTTTCTTCTATTACATTGATCCATTTGTATTTTGATATCTCATATGGTGTTTTTATTCTTGAACTTTTTTTTTTCCAGAATTTTATTGACTCTCCCTGGACCTTTATAATATGAAATTGAGATTTTTTTTTAAGGGTGAAATAAGTAATATACAGTATAATTCTAATGGATTATAAGCGTTTATTTCTGTATTTTATTGAGGTAGATACAATCCAAATCAAGTTGAATAATGCTTATAATCTAAAATATACACAAACAGTTCAAACAGGCAGGTATTATGAAACTATGTTAAGGTACATTTAACACTTACTTAAATTACAGCAATGTTAATATTTTACTTAAACATTAAATAATTTGAAGAATTGTATATGAAGAGACACTCTTGCTCAAGTTAGCTTGTGTTAGTAGAACAAATTTTACTTCTACCATGTCTTCACCTTTTTGGAGTCCCCTAGAAGCCTTAAACTTTTGCCTTTTAAAACTATATTTAAGAGGAATATACAAATAAGTATCCTAATGAACAACAGAGAATTGCAAAAATTGTCTCAAATAATGTATTTCTGTGATGGGGTGATGCAGTGGTAAAGTGATCGACTGCTAACCAAAAGGTCAGTTGTTTGAAACCACCAGTGGCTCTGTGGAAGAAAGAAGTGGCAGCCTGCTTCCATAGAGATTTACAGCCCTGGAAAGCCTATGGGGTTGCTATGAGTTGAAATTGACTCGATGACAGTAAGTTTGGTTTGTTTGGGTGATAGACCCCATCTACCAAATAAAAAAATGAAGGCAGTGAAAAAAGAATAATAATAAAGTGCAAATTCTAAATGTAAACCAAATTAAATTAAATTTTAAAAAAGATGAGTATTTTTACATAAACTGAAATGTGAGATTCATTATACTCTAGCTGTGTGCCATGCTGGTTGTTTCATAAGTAAGCTTATCAGATGACAGAGATACTTTGGACAGTGAAAGCAGATATCATTAATAATTATTCCAGTGTGGTAGGCACAAACTAGGACTATTCTGGGCAAACTGGCATGTATAGACCCCCGTGTAATATGCTCTTGCTAGGTAAGGATTCGGTTAATCAAAGAAACATTTACTGGTCATTGATTAGAATTAAGTGTCGTAGACTGGTTCTCACCTACAAATCCTGAGAAGCAGTTTCTCAGGACCTAATAAAAGCCAACAACTGAAATTTCTTAGTGACATAAGCATTCACAATAGCATCCTGGACTGAATAATCCAATCTTCATTAATTACTTTCATCTGGTTTTGGAGGTGGTTAAACCTCAGTACAAAGGAAAGGATCAGGCAGGAGTAAAAACTGCAGTTATAATGTGCTATACT